TATATATAAAATTACTTTAAACTAATCTAATCTAATCTAATAAGAAGAAAATATGTTGTGAAAATTGTTGCTATTTAAAAATTCATAATTTTTAAACAATCTAATATTAACTAATAAGAATAAAATAACAAAGGCACATACCTGTTGAATGAGATAAAAGTGCTATGAAAAATTATTGTAATTTCTGATCTGAAACAAAATCAACCATATATATAGTTAATTGCTTTAAAATAATTTACTCTAATCTAATAAGAACAAAATACATGAAAGTGCCGTGAAATTTGTTGCTATTTAATAATTCATAATATTTAAACAATCTAATTTAATCTAATAAGAAGAAACTAATAAAGACACACACCTATAGAATGGGATGAAAGTGCTATGAAAATTGTTGTAATTTCTTGGCTTATATATATTGGTATGCGATGTTGCATGTGAAAAAATAACATTGTAAATAGAGTTCTATTTAAATAATAATAGTATAATTAAACTTTAAATCTAATTATGCAGTATTATGAACTACTTGAATTTTAGTCGTTGAGAGATCGTCACATTATGTCCTAGATCGTAGCTATTTGTTTTTATTTTTCTTTTTTATAATTTTGAGAACGACTTTTGTCTCCTTAATTTGTTTGGTGGATTTTACAAATATCTCGTCCACACTATGTACATTTGTAGGTCCGTGCTATTAGAAGAGATCTAATTATGTGTGATTAAGGAGAAGCCTACAACCCACATTAAATTACCTATTCTGTTGTCAATTCTAATTATAATGTAATATCGTTTGTATCCGTGATCGTATCCTCCGATTCTCAAAATCCGATCCGTATCGTTTCCGATAAGTGCGGATATCGGTTAAGGTTTTTATTCTTACCGAGAATGATCCGTATCCGTATCCCTGTATCCGTTTTATAAAAAGCGGATATGGATATGGTAAGTGCGATATCCGAGCCCGTATCCGCTCCGATAACACCCCTATCCCACGGGCAAGGAGGGGAGAGATGGAATTTAACGCTGAAACCCCTAATGCAACAGAAACGCAGTATAGAAAAAGTACACCAAGATTTAACGAGGTTCGGCAACTGCCTACGTCCTCGGGAGCCACACAGTAAATTTCTTATTAATTAAACAAGAAATTACAAGTCAAGAGCAAATCCCT